ATTTATATTTGCATTTAAAGTTATGAAATATGATTCATTAAACATGTTTGTGGTTGTTACAGTAAAAAAATATAACTTTTTCTACTCTGATTTTATGTTTTTTGTCTTATTTTAGATCAATTGTGTTAATACAGTATGTCAAAATCAAAAGATAACTGTAAATTCAGACACGTGAGGTTGTGCTGAAAAGGATGATACCGAACAAGGCAAAGTAAATAGTTTTTAAAGGTAAAATGTCAAAAGAAAATCAAAACTATACCCTGGACCCCAGAGGGTTAAATGTTTTTTTAAAGTAACGCAATAGTTACTTTTCAAGTAATTAATTACTTTTAGAATATTGTAACTTAGTTACTAACTCAGTTACTTTTTTGAAGAAGTAACTAGTAACTATAATTAATTACTTTTTCAAAGTAACTTGCCCAACACTGGGTAATACTCATAGAATCATATTAGTTAAATAAAGAGCCGACCCAGGCTTACTGTATTGGGGTGCTGGTCCCACAATCAACAACCGGAGTAAAGGTGAAAGTGACAACAAATGCTAAATCTACTCATTGAACACAGGTGAGTAAACTACTTTGGCTATGTGGAAATATAGATGCTCTGTACTTCAAGGTTAAGAATATATGTTGTAAATAGCACTTACAGTAGAGTCACATTTTTGTGTCACACCAGTGTAGTCTCCTGTCTTCATGGCTTGGAAAGAAAGAGAATTATGGGGTTTTTTTTGCTGTGGTTGTTTTGTTTATTAATATGTAAAATATTCTGGAGAAAAAAAGATTTGATGAATTACCCTCAGGTGGATCTTTAAAAAGGTCACTTATGCATAGATTTTTAAGGGAAAGAATATCAGAAACAAACTCCTTTGATCTTCTAAGATCATCAATGTGAACAGATATCCAAGGACCTAAAAATTCAGATTAAAAAAAACACATACAAGTTTTACATACTTCACTTACTAAAATTGTGCCCTCCCTCTGTGTGTGTGTGTGTGTGTGTGTGTGTGTGTGTGTGGTAGGACTAACCGCCTTGAAACCCAACATAGGAAGTCCCACCCTCCATTCGAGGTAGTTTGAAGACAAAGTACACATACGTCTTTGTGTCGTCCGTAGTATCATACTTGTTTATTTCATTGAAGCATGAATACCTTTAAAAGCCAAACAAGACGTAAAAAGAAAGAAATAAGATATGTTTCCTTAAGGTTACAAGGTTATATAAAAGTAAGTCATTATGAGATGATCTTCCTGCTCACTTGGCTGAGGAAAGAATATTCCGTCTGTGGAAACTTTCATCATACTCTGCTTGGATAATGAGCACTTTGTCTGTATGTGTTGAGCCCAGAAATTCCCTAGTGTTGAGACATAGACATCATGTTATATAGTAATAAAGTGAATGATAACTAAACAATATGTTGATTCATCTCTCTCTCTCTCTCTCTGCACACACACACATATACATATATATATATATATATATACACACACACACAAACATGCACACGCATACACACACATATACATACATATATATACATAGATATACATATACACAGACAGACGGACAGATGTATATAAACTGTAGATAAAGTAATGTTATATAATCACACCTACGATCAATTTAAAATCACCAATTACCTTAACCTCATGCATGTCTATGGGAAGAGAGCAGTGTACAGGGTGGGCCATTCATATGGATACACCGTAATAACATGGGAATGGTTGGTGATATTAAAGTCCTGTTTGTGGCACATTA